ATTAAATTAATATCATAAACATGTAACGGCTAGACGTTAGTTGTTAGTTAAAGCCAGTGGTCAACAAAGAAAATCTCCAGTTGGGGGCAGCCCTAGTGTACTGAACACGTGAACTGCCGTTCAGATTGTTTGTACCATATTAACACAAAATTATTCCCAAAATAAGATAATAATTACGGACGCATGATAATTATTGGGACAGATAAAACATCAGGATACTTAAAGTACAGCTGGTAAAATATTGGTTGATATTAATTTATTTTGAATTCTTATGCATAACGATTGATTTGATTTTTTTTACCAGAAAAAATGAATCAACATTTGAAAAGTCAGAACTGCTGTTTGTTCAAAGCAAATCTAACTGACATCACTATTGTTTACAACAACAGTAGATGTTTACCGATGAGGTCATTTTAACTACTTTATATTCTGTTGGGTAGTTTAATCTACAGCAATGCGTACTAATGCATATGGTGATCATATGTTTGTACTATTTAAGAATTTACTCTGTTATTTTAGAGGAGATGTGTATTTTGAGATATAGGTCATTAATCACATATATCTACTTGTTTTTAACTAAATGTTTATTAGCGTGTGGGAGAACCATACATGCCAGAGTGACCAACACAATTGTGGAGGTCAAAATCCGCTAGTTAACTACTGAGAGACGCACAGATAACTACAAAATCCTCTGTTACTCTTTAATTCTGAACTAATTTTCAAGAATTTGAACTTGGTACTGGTTACTTGTAGGAATAAATTCAGTTACCAATCAGCTCATGTCAAAAATGAACCTTCGCATAGCCAAAACCTCCAACATTTTTTTTAGAGATTGCAGCTCACCCACTAACTTTTACCTGTTTAAATACCTTTAAAAGTGGCAATACAACCAATGAAATGCAGTTTTGCATTAGCCAAAAAGTTATTACAGCTCCTACCTTGTCACTAAAAGTTTTCTTTCCCAAAATGACTTCATTTCACTTGTGAGTTATATTTTAGAGATTAAAGCTCATCCAGTCTTTTGTACCAGTTGAAAAACTTTTAAAAAGGGGTGCTACAACTCATAAAATGCACTTTTGCACTGCCTGAAAAAAAGGTGTTGTGTCAGGGTAGTTGCCCCCAGTAAGAGGTGTGTCCCTGTGAGTGAAGGTTGACCTGCATTACAATGCTTTGATGATATCAATATGTGTATTGTTGAATTAATCGTTTTAATGTTAGAGTTCTAACTATAAGGTTTTGGGAAGTACCACATGGCTCATGTGTTTCTAAACAAACTCTTTTATTCTTCTGTACGTGTTATTTAATGCATTTAAATACCATTGTACTGAAAAACCAAGGCAATCACATCTTTGTTCCACTAGGACGGACATGAAGCCTGCCAGAATATGTACCCCCCTCTATAATGCTCAGTCTCTGTTCTACCATCAAGATATATTTCACAAACTGTATCCCTTTTCTATAAGAGACAAGGTCTTACATTTGACAAAAGGTTCAAAATACAAATATATATGCAGGAGTTTTATTTTCAGATTTTTTTTTAAGTCAGTCATCAGTTCACAGTTTTGGACTTGCGGGGGAAACCCAAAAGGCATTCATATTTTTGCCTATGCCTATGTCATGTGCCTCTGTTAGATGTTGATAGAAGTGTTCTGGAGGTAGGCACTTAATAGTTTCACTATACGCTGATGTTGATTGCGTATGTAACCTGGATTTGGTTAGAGTCCTCCTACTTCTTCCAGCGCTGTGGTTTTCTCAACCCAAGAAAGTGACGGGTTCTTTTCCACATTGATGGAGTCTTTAGTGTCGCTGGGGGGTTCTCCTTGGAGAATTCAGCCTCATCCAGTGGTTGCATGGTAGGTTCTTTAGGGATAGACCGCTCCTTCTCCAACATTAAAAACACGTTTTAAAACCTGCTATTAATCCCAAAGTGACTGATAGGTCTAACATAACAGCTTCACACAGCTAGAATGCTTTTTATTAATGATCAGTTCCGAGAGATTTCAGTCTGAGCAGTAATAATAGCAAGTTTGTGTAAAATTTGGATGAACGTTTAGCAGATTATTTCCTGTGAATATTGAACATTTGAACTACAATTCTGTCTGTATTGTTTTTTATTTTTAACAGTAAATACTTAATAGGCTTCTCTTTTGGACAAATTCAGTGTTTTCTTTACATCTATTAGCTCTGGTTGTTGATTTCTAATGCAGGAAGAGGCTGTTTATTAGAGAGTGGAGGCTTGTGTTCAGGTCAAGCTGAGGTAAAATGAATGGTTCAAAGACACTGACTCCAAATGGGAACTATTTGGAAGAGAACTGTGGACCAGGAGGACCCCTTTGCCCCCAGCCTAGCTCTGGCTCCTGAACTGATTTTATTCAAGAGTCAACAGTCAGCAATAAATAATCTTATTAGGAATAGAGCTGCCTCCTGCATGAACTGTCTGTAGCTGAACAGGGTCGGCCTACTCTGCTGTATTTTAACATCGGTCATAATTGCTCTTCCAAATTATCAGAATATCGCTCAATTTGGCATGA